CTTATCTCCCATGGTAAATGTTCAATAAATGTTAGCTATTATTCATTTGAATTGACCCAATGTTTCAGCCTGTACCTTGGGAACTATACATAAGTGATCTCAAAGCTTTCTCCCAGTCTTGAAGTTTAGTCACACCATCCAGCATGCAGGATCTTAGTTCCCCAACCAGGGACTGAAACCGTGCCCCTTGCATTGGAAGCACAGAGTCTTAACCACTGGACTGACAGGGAAGTCCCCTATCATTTTTTAAATTTAGTGAAACATCTATCTATAAGAGAGAGATCAGGAGGAATGATCCACAACATTTTTAGGATAAAGGCACTGCACAAAGCTGAATTGACAAGGGTAGGCTTTAATGCCTCCAAATGGGGAGAAATCGCACTTAGGGAGCTCAGAGACTAATTCAGCTCTTGATATGAGCAGAAGAGTGATAAACACGGGGCAAACACTATAAATGCTAAATACATATATATAGTTCTTCCTGAGGACAAGTGCTTCCTGGTTCTCACTGGAGGGACAGGTACTGTTCAAAAGTTCAGACTCTCAGATTGGTTCCTTATCATCCATGTGAACCTGGGCAACTTGCTTTTAACTTTTTTATGCCTCAGTTTCCTCTCCTGCAAAACAGATACAGTAATAGTACCTATCTAAGGAATAGCATCTTCCTTAGTAGCTCAGTTGGTAAAGATTCTGCCTGCAATGCAGGAGACCCAGGTTCTATCCCTGGGTCAGGAAGATCCCCTGGAGAAGGAAATGGCAACCCACTCCAGTACTCTTGCCTGAGGAACTCCACAGACAGAGGACCTGGTGGGCTACAGTCCATGGGATCCCAAAGAGTTGGACACGACTGTGCGACTAACTTTTGCTTTTCAAGGAACTGTACATGTACAGTGCTGACATAGTAAGTAAATGCTCAGCAAAAGCACATTATTGTTATTGTCTGACAGAGGGCACTCTATGGGTGAGCGATAAGTTTCCATTCTTAGAAGATGACCTTGTCTTCTTTTTCTGACTGGAGGCTCCTCATGGGTGGGTCCCGGTCTCTACCTTCAGAAGTTAGGCATGATGACTCCCTTGTGACCTTGGGAACTGCCTTAGAGAAGAAGTGACTCCCCCATTAGGCTTGGACTCCACAAGGCTGGAACGGCCTCTCAGAGGTGGAACCAGCAGCACTTCCACCGATCTCAGAGGCATCTTGTCTCTCCCAACAGATTGAGGGTTTCCAAGAGTGTGTGTATGACTGGCTCCCCTCCAGGCCACCCGGTGTAGGCTGATTACCTTTTATCCTCCTCCTTCAGGCGGGGAGAGAACGGTGAGGAATGTGCCGCTTCAGCAGCCCCCAAGAATAGGATGGAGTGAGCTGAGACTTGGCTCTGGGGGAGAACCTGGGGCCCCAGCCTTCAGGGGTCCCGCGATTAAGGGGCTCTGAGGAAGTCTTGAGAAGGCTCTTAGGAGGTTGTGTCGGGCTCTGTGGGGAAATGGATGAGGGGAGTGTCCCAAAAGCGACAGCAGGGAGCATTTTACGTGGATACAGGGTAGAAGGCGCGTCCGGGTAACTAATGGCAACTGGGCGGGGTGAGCCCGCGCTGCGGGAGTTCTTCGACGGAGAAAAACTACTACTCCCAGGATGCCCCAGGGCCTAGCCCAGCTTTTCCGCCCGCCCACTGGCTGCCGGTCTGGCGAGCGGCGAAGCGGATTGGCCGCGCCTGTGCGGGGCTCCCCCACTAGCAGGTTAGTGGGCGCCGCCGGCAGCAGACGTTGACCGGGCGCGGGGAGTGGAGGGTGTCGGGGCGGGGGGGGCCTGATCGCCATTCTGGAAACTGCCGGGCGCTGTCTCCGTAGCGTAGCCGCTGGCTGTGTAGCGCGGGGCGGGGGCGGAGACTGCGTGGCGCAGGCGCGGTGTTGGGCTTCTCCTGGGTCCCCAGACAGCTGGAGGAGATAAACAGAGGAGGAGGGAGGGGAGTGCGTGTGTGAGAGCGCGCGAGGGAGTGTGAGTGTGTGTGTGAGCGCGGGTGTGAGGCGGTGCGCAGGGGCGGGCGGAGGCGCTGTCCGGCCCCGGCCAGGCGCCGGGCGGGGAGCATGGGAAGGGGCTAGAGCAGCCCGGGTTCCCCAGCCCCCTCCCCGGGATCCGCGCCCCCCCTCCGGGGAGAGGGGCCGGGCCCCCCGGACGGACATGGGCTCCTGAAGTTGCGCCGCCACCGGTCCTAGGAAGAGGCCTGACAGGTACGGGTAGCCGCCGCCCCCTGCTCTCCGCTCGCGCCGAGGCGAGGACCGGCTCCGGCAGCCTTGGGCGCACGGGCCGCCTCTGCTCTGGGCCGGCCCCAGCCCTGCCTGCCCGGGGGCCTGAGCCTGTCCGCCTGGGGGGGGGGCCCTGGGTGTCCCGAGAAGGGGCAGGCCTCGCCGGGGCGGGGGGCAGAGTGAGCCGGGGGCGAGGTGGGGACGGAGGGCTGGCTGGGACGTGGGGGACGGGGGGGAGGCTTTGGGAGTTCGGGAAGCCTCAGCAGAGGGAGAGATGGAAGTCGTCCCATCACGGGACTTTTTTGCGGAGTTTTTGTTTGACATCTGATCTGGCCCGGGTCTCAGGAAGAAGGGGGCAGGTGGAAGTGCCGAGAGGGCAACGTTGACCTGACCTCCTGCTCTCTCTTAGTTTCTCTCTCTCTCTCTCTCTCTCTCTCTCTCTCTGTGTCCGTCCCCGTGTCCAGTCCAGGCTTCTGGCAGCCTCAGATGCCTTCAGTGGCCCATCCTGGCACCAAACTGAACTCTGCCGAGGTGTTTCCACCAGGCGACTGTAGCGCCCGTACAAAAGGGCCTTTACTTGGGAACTGGCTATTCAGTACCCACTTCAAAGGGCAAGTAGGAAGTGTGGAGTAGGAGAGAGACTGCGACCCAGCAGGTTCCAGTACTCGTTGCTGAAAGCTGCAGTGAGACGCCCCCTTGCCAGCCAGGTTGAATTTGCTCAGTGCCCTCTGGCTCTCCTCTGCAGGTGTGCTACCAGGGTCTCTAGAAAAGAGATATCGGGACTTACGACTCATGTCTAACAACCTAATTTGACTATTTCACCCAAAGGCCTTTTCTTCTATGACTTTCTTTAACTGGTAGAGCAACTTTAAAGTTTTCTTCTCAAGTTAGTGAGTTTAAAAGCCTGGTAGGGTGGCTGTAGCTTCCACATTCTTCCTAAAGATGGGTAGGTGGTTAGGGCAAAGTGGCAGTTAAGTCATCACTTTTAATAAAGCCTGAAACAGTTTTGAGAAAACTATTCTGAGGTCACCTCCTGACTCAGAGGCATTATGAAATCCCCACCTAGAGCACAGGTATGCCCAGTGGCCTCACTCAACTTTCCTGTATCTTGCAGTCCTTCTTGAGTGGCTAGTCTTTGTTCCTAAGTTGAAGGAACTACTTAAGGCTATTTTGTTTTGAATTCTGGCTTCTTCTTTGTAATTCTTCTGTTTTTAAAGAGGTTGAATTGAGTCTTGGCTGTTGAGTATAGTAATAACCAGATCCTCTATCACATGCCAAGGAGTAACTAGAAGGGCTTCTTTGGGCCGAGTCTTAAGACTGACAATGAATTTCTTCACTGTAAGCTGTTGTGCTTCATTGGTAGGTGGGAAAACAACCTTTTCTGCCATAGTTTGCGATCACACTGCTTTAGTTCTGGAGTCTAGCGATCCTTCCCTCTTTTGATCTGTTTGGGGGCACTTATGTTCAAGTCACATTCCCATTTGTAGAAGCAGTGCTTGGGGTCAACTCTGAGGAATAACTGAACAGCAATTTATATTTGTGCCTGGGATTCCTTCCCTTGGGGTCACTGAAGGAAAGAGCATATGTGTAATGCTTGTGGTGATGATATCATTGACGTTTTGCCAGTTTTAAAGTTGTCAAACTGCTTTCCTAGCTGGAAAGAACTCATGGGACATCCTGTGAAGGATATTTTCACACACCTGGGCTTCAGAATCTGGCAGGTTACAACTGAAGAAGCCCCCTGCTAAACATCTGTAGCTCTGAAGAGGCTAACTGCTGGGACGATCCAGAACTGTGACTTTAATTATTCTTTAATTATTTTTCTTCTCTCGTTTGGATTAAGGAATATAGCCTGCATGTGCAGTCCTGGGTCTCAAAGAGGGAGTCGTAGACAACACATAGTGTGGTGATACCTTTTCTTTTGGGCGACTGGTTTAATGATCCATTCTGTTTCCTTTCTTCTTTCATCGTCACCTTTCCAGATTCTCCACCACATCTTTGGGCTGCCAAACCCATATAACTCTTGGGCTTTGCTTTCTTCTCAGCTGTATAATAAGAAAGCTCTTCAAAAACCCAAGCCTTGATAGTTCCCATCAGAAACCAGTCCCTTGTGTTACATTTAATTCTGGCTCATTTACTGTGAGGGATATTTGCTAATTGGAATACATCCTAAAAAGTGACTGACATTTATTGAGGGCCTGGTATATGTCAGACTCTATGCTCAGTAGTGTTCTTACTTTATCTAATTTAACCTTCATGACTACCCGGTGAGGCAAAAATCATTTTTCCTGGCATACATATGAAGATACTGGTTCAGAGAGGCAAAATAACTTGCTTAAGGCCACACAGCTAGTAAGTGAAAGGATCAGAATTCAGATCCAGCTCTTCTCCTGGGGGACTGTGACACTTAATCAGGAGCTGAAGGGACCAGAGCTAAGAGTCTGGGGGACATATACTTGAAGAACTGTCCTTGGAAAGGGAACTGGACTTTCCTCTGTGTGATTCTGGAATGCAGCACTAAGATCAGAGGATGAGAATCCCAAGAGGGTAGATGTTGGCTTGACAGGAGAGAATTTGGCTTTCTAAAAACAAAATGGGCTGCGTTGTGAAGGAGTGAGTTACCCATTATTGGAAGTATTCAAGCAGAGGCTTTGCCACTTTTTATCAAAGATATGGTAGAGGAGTTCATACTTATGTAGTTAACTGGAGAAGGTGGTGTTTTTGTTTTTTTTTTTAGTATTTTAAACTTACTATATGAAAATTATATAAAATTCCTGCTGTTTTGATCCATAAAAAACTAATATGTATTGAATATTTTGTGCCTGGCACTTGCTGGACACTTTTTCTCCAATATTTCATTTAGTCCTAGTGATAAGTATTATCACTGTTCCCACTCTACAGATGAGGAAACTGAGGATCCAGAAAGTTGACAGATATGCTGGAGGTTACACAGGGAGTAATAGTAGGGCTGATGCTGATCCTATGTGTGCACCTTCTTAGATGCGTGTCCTAGAGCAAATCACATGTTCTCTCTGAGCTATGCTTTTCTGATCTGTGAAATGACCAGCTACTTTACAGTGGGTTTGTGAGGACTCACGGATGTAATATTTGCTTTTCATTAGATCTCATCTATTGCCCATCAAGGGCCTGGGTTTGGGGGTGAAGGGACTTTGGTTTCTTCAGGGTGAATTCAGGCCTGTCAGAAACCCTGAGAGTAGTTCTGGGGTTCATTCTTGATGCTATTAGTAACAGCTGCTGACTCCACAAAGGGCTTTGTGGCATTAGTGACTAATACCTTAAAAACTTGAGGCCTGAATAAGAGGAGGATTCAGCCAACAGGTTGGGGTATAGGAGGCAGTGTTGGAGGCCATGTGGAAAGGAAATTCTCACCCTGTTGTAGAGTCAGATTCTGGGATCACTGCTGCATCTTTATATTTAATGTTTTATTTTAGAATGAACAAAGTCATAACTGCTAGAGCTGTGACAGAGTCGGATGCAAAGAATAATAACCCTTAATCCTCCCTGTAGCCATCTGGGGAGGTATTAACCCCATTTTCTTGGGGAAGGGGGCAGAGGAGGATCAGTCCTTGCCCAGGTAGCTGTCTACAAGCTCTTTGGAGGCAGTGTTAGGATCAGGACCTTGGTAAAATTTTGTCCTTGTTCATAACCTCCAGATTTTATTTTCAGAAAACATAAAACTGTGCTTATTCGTAAACCTTTTAGAGAGCCTTTCTCAGAATGGGAGTCAGGCGTTTCTGGTCAGAGAGCTTCATCAGTTGAGGCCTGATGAAGGGTGCCAGTGGCTCTTCCGGTTCCCTTTTGAGCTGGACATCTGGATGTAACACAACTGCAATTGAATCAAAAAGGAAACCTTTCCAAATTGATTGACTTAGTTTTCCTTGACCTTTCTACTAGGAGTGAAATTAGAGGGTGAAACTTAAAGGTCTTCCCTATGAGAGGTACATTGAGTTGTGGCAGGATTTGGGACGATGCAAGTTAAAGGTGAAATGCAAGACTGGATGCTCTTGAATTCAGTGAGAAAGGATAACGTTATCAGAATACTCCTATTTCTGTTTCTGTTCCCTTCTACTACCTTAAGATAATTGTGGCCCTGTGACATCACAGATAAATTAGTATGGTCACTGAAAAGCAAAGCTCTGAGAACAGGAAATTCTTTTAAAAACTCAGATGGCGATAGAGAACTCTACAGACAGAGAAGACATCAAGGTGAGTTTTCATCCAGTGCTCCCACAAAGTGGAGCATTTCTTAGGATGGCCTTTCCCAGAGAATGCTTCAGTCAGCCCCACACGGAATCATTTAAGCCAGGAGCCTCAAAGATGGCAAAGAACTTTTCCACTGATGCTTGGCTGATGGACTTGTCCTGCCATCCACACCTTTCTCAGATGTTCTTGTGCCAACTTAGTCCATGACCCTGAAATGCAACCTTTAAGTTTGTGTTTGAGACCAGCAGAGTCAAGGTGATTTTGATGCCTTAGCTTAACCCTAAGAAATGATAAGAGACAGAGTTTCTTCTGGCAAAGACTGCTTGGATGTGCTCTAAATAAAGATAGTAGTAGTAGTTCTTTTTTAGTGGTCAACAGCCTGGGTTCTGGAGATAAACTACCTAGTTTGACTCTTCATTTAATGACTGTAACTTTGGGCAGGTTAACTTCTCCATGCCTCAGTCCTTCATCTATAAAATGAGAATTATAGTAGTACCCATCTCATAGGGCTGTAATGAAGAGAAGTCTGTCAGATAGTACTTATAAAGTGCTTAGAATGTCCAGTAAATACTATTTACAGACTCAGTGTCAGGCATTTTACATATGTGGTTCCTCCCATTCCTCATCACTCTGTGAAGGTGGGCTTTATAATCCCTGTTTTATAGATTAGGAAACTGAGGTTTAGAAATACTGTCACAGAGAAAGTAAGTGGCAGAACTGGAATTTGAACCTGAGGTCTGTTGGACTCCACAGCCAACTTTTTATTTTATTATTTTAGTTCAGATTACCTTAATGCATTGGAAGTGCTTTTTTTCCCCCCATAGGATTGCTCCAGTAGGAAAACCATTGCAAATAGAGAGGAAACTTGCATATATCTTTTTGCATAATTCAGGATGTTGACAGGGAGGTCGGTCAGTTGTCACTCAGCTGGGGGCACCTCCCTGCAGTGGGAGGCAGCAAGTCCAGAGGAAAGAGAATATAGATGATGTGGGTTTGATCTCCACTCTACTGCTTCCTAGCAGTGTGTCCTGGGATAATGGAATTGGAACGAATTTTGCAGTGCATCTCAGTCTACCTCTCATTTTACAGATGGGTAAATAGGCTGAGGGAATGAAATGCCATACTCACCGAGTTACATAGCCAGTTAGAGGCAGGTCTTGGCCTGGAGCACAAGACCCTAATCCCAGTTCAGTGCCTCTCCCTCAGTACCACGTAGCAGTGGGCTTCAGTTCGTCCTTGTTAAAAGGGGATCATAGGAACTTTCCAGCTTCCTCTCAAGATATTGTGAAGTTCAAATAAAAGCATGAACAGAAGCATTGTGATAGGTATAGTGTTTGTATGCAGGGCAGTCATGCTGTTATTCATTCAGCAAGTTTTAATATATTGGTACCTGCTAAGCCCACATAACTCCTTGGGAGACCCAGGAGGGGTCAGTAGATGAATCAGGTAGAGTTGGCCCTCAGGATGTTTTCAGTCTGTTAAGGAAAAGAAGCCACATAAATAACTGCTATTCGAGTTAGGAGACAAATGAAGGAAAGGGTGAGAACTAAATTTTCTTAAATTGTGGTTTTGAGGTAGAGAACCGAAGAAAGGGTTTTGGGACTTTTCCTCCTTTACAGCTGAGATATAATTTACTTACCATAAAACCCATGCTTTTAATGTGTGCAGTTCTTCACTTTTTGATATAGTCACAGTTGTATAACCATCTAATTCTGGAACATTTTCGTCATCCCCCCCCCCCAAAAGAAAACCATAGCCTTTAGCTATCACTGCCCACCCCCAATCACCCCATCTTCTCTCTCAACCCTAGACAACCACTAATCTACTTTCTGTCGCTATAGCTTTTTCTATTCTTGAGATTTCATATAAATGAATTCACACAATATGTGGCATTTTGGGACTGGCTTCTTTCCCTAAGCATAATGTGTTCAAGTTTTCATCCATGTTACAGCGTGAATCAATACTTTATTCCTTTTTATGACCAAATAACATTCCGTTGTATACATAAGCCACATTTTGTTTATCCATTCATCAGTTGATGGACATTTTGGTTGTTTCTACCTTTTAGCTATTGTGAATAATGTTACTATATGCATTCTTACACAAGTTTTGTATGGAATTTCTTTGTTTTCAACAAAGTCACTTTTTTTCTCCTGATCTTGTATTTCAAAGCTAGCAGAGGTGATAAAGACATCCTGTTCTCTATGCCTCACCATACCACACACAATGGAATCCTCAATGTCAGCTTTGTCTCTCTAGTAGGAAAGGAAATGTGGAAGAAATGTTGTAACACGTGTCACTGAGCATAGATAACAGGAGTTATCCGGTCTTAGAATTTAGGTTTGGCTACCTTCTATTCCCTCATAGCTCAGTTGGTAAAGAATCTGCCTGCAATCCAGGAGAGGCCGGTTCGATTCCTGGGTGGGGAAGGTCCTCTGGAGCAGGGATAGGCTACCCACTCCAGCTTGGGCTTCCCTTGTGGCTCAGCTGGTAAAGAATCTGCCTGCAACGTGGGAGACCTGGGTTTGATCCCTGGCTTGGGAAGATCCCCTGGAGAAGGGAACAGCTACCCACTCCAGTATTCTAGCCTGAAGAATGTCCGTGGGGTCACAAAAGAGTCGGACACAACTGAGCGACTTTCATTTCACTACTGCTGCTGCTGCTAAGTCACTTCAGTCGTGTCCAACTAAGCCTTCAATTAACCATCTATTAAGCCCTACTATGATCCAGGTATATATTTTGCCCTTTCATACATACTTCATTTATTCCTCACAATGATCCATTGAAGTAGGTTAGCATCCCTCTTTTACAAGTGAGCAAATTGAAACTCGGAGAGATTAAGTAACTTGCCCAACCAGAGGCTGAAATTCAGGCCCGGGTGCCTGTGTGTTTTAAGTCTGCTTCTCTTTCTGCTGCATTAACCAGAGCCCAGACAAGGACTCAGGCACACCTAAAATGGGTGGCTCCTCGTGTTTGCATGTTACCGTTTAATCCTTGGTTCCAGGTGAGTAATCTTCTCCAGGTGTACTTTGTTCTAGGGTTTGTTAACCTCAAGCTGTTATATTACTGGTACCCTTTGCATTATGGCCCTGGAGAAGGAAATGGTAACCCACTCCAGTATTCTTGCCTGGAGAGTCCCATGGACAGAGGAGCCTGGTGGGCTACAGTCCATGGGGTTGCACAGAGTCGAACATGACTGAGTGACTAACACTTGCATTATGAAGTATGCGTTTAAGTCCTCCAAACTGAATTTTACTAGCTTGCTTTAACTGTAACAGATATAGGCCCATTGAAGAAAGTATCCCAGTAGCCTGAATTAAAAGTTTGTGGAAGTGATGGTGTTAAGTTCTGGGTGCTTTAGAGCTCCAGGAACAGAATACCTTTTGGAAGATACAACATCTACATAGAAGCTCACGTTTTCTTTATGACGTTTTCCTCTGTGCCTTAGGTGTTTCTATATTTCTCATATTCCTGATTCACAAAAACTGGCTTCTTTCTTCCTCGTTTCCATTGAATATCAGCTGGAGTTTGCCTGTAGTATCTTAAATTACAAGTAAATAACATTCCTAAACCTTTGTATTCTAGCTGGAGAACGTTTTCTTGAACTTTCATGTTCTGCCAGCAAATTAGCCCTCAATGTTATGAGAGCTTTAAGTGTGAAAATCAGAGTTTATTTATTAACTGTGCTATCCTTAGGATGAAGAAGGTACATTAAGTTTCTTGTTGTCTGGGAGTTCCCTGGTGGTTAGGACTCAGCCCTTTCACTGTGATGGCCTCAGTTCAGTCCCTGGTTGGGGAGCTAAGTTCCCACAAGCCGTGTCGCGCAGCCCCAAAAAAGTTGTTTGTCGACTGTTAAACTCTTCATTCTTCACTAGTGATTTCCCAGGAGTCTGTCTAGCCCTACTGTTATATGTTTAGATGTGTGAATAAATGAGTATAAATAAGATTTAATTTATTATTCCATGTTCCTTCTGAACTTACTGTCCTAGCTATTCATTTTGATCATTTGACTAAGTTAAAGTTAGCCTTCTTCAGTCTCTCTTTGGAGCTCTGATTATGGCCTGGGTGCCTTTGATACTCAAGTAGCTTTGACTACATTGTGTGCTCTTAGTGTAGCACTGTACCTGGCAGAGTAGACACTGAAGTTGTTACTTTATGGATTCTTGCAGTCACTTAGTTTGGTCTTTTTACCCCTCAACAGAACTGAACATTATGTAATTTGCATACTGCACCAGAGATAGAAATTCTCTTGAATTAAACACTTTCCTAGTGTTTAATCATACACACACACACACACACACACACACACACATACATGTAACTTCCTTTTGCCAATTTCAATATTTCGTTCATATCATGTCTATAAGTTCTTTACTCTGTAGAATCGACTATTTCTGAACATTCCTTAAAATAATGCTTTTAAAATTTGACCATGATTGAATCTCGTATTCATATAACTTTTATTTATTGCTCTGATTATTTGTATTTGAGAAGTAGGAAACTAGTTATGCCCTCTGTACATTTGAGTGTATTTCTCTCCTGAGGTGAGCCTTTTAAATGATCTCTACCTAGAAGCATTTCCAGTTATGCTTGTCTGCCTCTAAAAGTTTATGAAAAGGCACTGTTTGCTTAGAGAAGAGAGGGTGGGCTGTGTTACAGAACAAGCTGTCTGCCAGTGTGCTATCATTTCTTCTCAGGATGGGGATGGAGCTGTTTACCAAAATACCACCTGAGCAGCAGTTGTGTTAAATTTGACATTTGGGGTCTTAAACCTCTGCCTACCAGTCTGATACTGTTTTAAATCCCAGTTTCCATTTTACCATTTACCTGAATACCAGTGATTTTTGCTTGCCTGGTTTTTCTGCTTTTACCCTTCTTGTTCCTTTTAGTATTTCCAAGCCACACACCAATATTAGCTAGAGCTCCTTGTGGCTTGTGGGATTTTAGTTCCCCCACCAGAGACTGCACGCACGCCCTTGGCAGTGAAAACACCGAGTCCTAACTGCTGGACCACCAGGAATCCCCCAAAGTGCCTTGCCTTTGGTTCTTTGCTTCTCAGAATGGGTACTGTATCTTTTCATCTTCAGTATTCCCTCATGACTAGCACAGTGCTTGGTGCTTGGTAAAAATTCAGTTTATGTTTTAAGAACATTAGTGGATGAATAATGACAATTTATTTGGCTCTTTTGGGGATTCCCTGATAGCTCAGTTGGTAAAGAATCTGCCTGCAGTGCAGGAGACTCCAGTTCTATTCCTGGACTGGAAAGATCTGCTGGAGAAGGGACAGGCTGCCCACTCCAATATTCTTGGGCTTCCCTTGTGGCTCAGCTGGTAAAGAATCTGCCTGCAGTGCAGGAGACCTGGGTTTGATCCCTGGGTTGGGAAGATCCTCTGGAGAAGGGAAAGGCTTCCCACTTCAGTATTTTGGTCTGGAGAATTCCATTGACTGTATAGTCCATGGGGTCACAAAGAGTCGGGCACGGCTGAGCAACTTTCACTTTGGGGATTCTTGTAGTGATCATTACTCTAGGAAACTGCATACCATAGTAATTTATTTATGTATACATAGTGGTTAAGACTGTACATACAGTTTTAGGTTTGGGTCCCTGCTCCGGCTCCAGTTTATCAGCTATGTGACGTTGTGGGAGTTGTTTCCTATCTATGACTGTGTCTCCTTGTGTGATGATAGGACAGTGACGATAGGAGCAGCATCTACCATACAAGCTTTTGAGCTGATGTTAGCACTGGTTGTCTCCCTTCTCATTTGTATCCCCCTAGATCTTTGTGACTTCTTGCCATTCACATTTCAGCTTAAATGTTGTCATCTCAGAGAACTCCTCTATATCAGACTGGATTTGTAGTTGTCAGCAACAGAAACCAATTCTAGCTGATTCTTGAAAGGATATTAAGGAAACTCAACAAAATATCAAGGAAGGCCACAAAGCCAGGCTTGAAGAATGGACTGGAACAAGGGAATTAGCTAGCAGCCAGGACCCACAGCCAAAATAATTCACAGAACCAGTCCATGAAGTCACTGCCGCCATTGCATAGCTTACACCACCACCAGCTGACTGGACCTTAATAGCAACTGTAGCACCGCTTCCTGCCGGCATGGACTCCCCATGATCCTCTGATTCTGTGACAGCAGATCTCAATTAAGGTCTGGGGCTCATGTGTCTATTGACGTAGCCTGGGCCATACGCACACACACTAGGTGTAGGAGAGCCTAGAAAGAGAATCTTGTCTCCACCATTCTCATTTCATAGTGAGAGGGCTCTCCACTTCCCACCAGCCTCATCAGATGGGAAATTCCCAAAATACAGGAAGGAAGTTCACATGCTGAGCAGCCAGACAACTCCAAAATGCACCATATCTTTTTTAACCTCAAGTCTAAAAGTAGCTCATCAGTCACTCTCTGGTCAGCTTGTTTTATTTTCATCATAGCACTTTTCACTATTGGATATAGTTTTATTTGTATTATTTGTTACCTATCCCCTCTTGCTGGAATATAGGTACCCTGAAAATAAGGAATTTATCTGTTTTGTTCACTGCTATGTCTCCTAGGCCTGGAATAGTACCTGGCATATAGTAGAAGCTTCTTGTGCTCACTTGTTGAGTGAATAAATGAATGGATGAATAAATATAAAGCACTTAGCACAATTTTTGGAACATAGTAAGTACATAATATTTGGCAACTTACTATTTCTTAGCAGATACACGTATTTATGTTCCTTTCAAAATAAAATTAGGGAAAAGGCTTTATACTTACATTATTCTATTTGACCTTCCCAGTAACCTTCTAAGGAAAAGGGTGTTGGGAGGAAAAAGTGAGCCTTCTTCTGGTGAAGCATGCGTGGCCCCTTTCGTGTTTATTTCAATGCTTCCTGTGCCTGTGAGTCACAGGAATGAGTGCCTACTTAGATTAAGAGACTTGACCAAGGACACATGGCTGGTCTTACTTTATATCAGATATACTCACTGACTTTGGTGTTTTCCATTGTGATAAGCCCCATCACATATTCTTGGTGATTGTGGGGGCAATTATTGTTAATATTTTGGCTTTGACTGTTATAACACAAATCAGAGCCATAAACACAATTGCAGGCCAGTGCTTAATTCATGTCAGTTTGTTCAAATTCATAATTTTAATTTGATAGCCAAGGGCCCCTGGAAAAGCCATCCCAGAATTGTAATTCTTAAATAGCATCCCTGGATGTTCTTGGTGCTTGTAGGTCTTGTGATCCTCGGTAGTGCCCATGACTTCTGTATATCCCGGGTAGTGCTTACTGAGATGCAGTGCTGTTTGGCTTCCACATTCTAAGGGAAGGTTCTTGCCCTTTTAAGAGCTTGTAATCCCAAAATAGATCATGGAGACATAAACCCCAAAGAATTCAAGCTGAATGGGAACATCTAATCAGGCAGCAAGTTTTTTTTATTGTCCTACTGTGTGCCTAGTACTAAAGGGGAAAAAAGCTATCTCCAATAACATAGTGTTTATAAAAGGAGTCTCCTTTTGTGGTTAAATGCCAAAAGGAAGGGAAGGAGTCTGCTCACAGCTCAGGTGGGGAATGTTTGGTTTTAGGAGGGTGTACAAGGGATCTGCAGGAGGCCAGCAGGAGGAAAGCCCGGGCCAGAAGATCCAGAAGTGGCTTCAGGGGTGACTCAGGAGTGTTGGCAGAGAGGCCTGATGGGTCCCCAAGCCATTGTCATAAGGCCATCATGGAGAAGAAAGACTGGACCTCCTGTGTGACTCCAGAGGTAGAAACAGGACCAAAAAGTGGGCATAACAAGAGGCAGAACTTTCTTTAAAATTTCGTGGGATTATTTTCTCTAGCTGGTTTTTTTTTTTCTGATTGTAAAATTAATGTGCTTGTATAGAAAAAATTTGAAAACATCAAAAAGTAGAAGGAAAGATTCAGTCATACCACTATGTAAAGATGGCAATTGTTATTTTTTATATTTCCTTTTTTAAACATAGCTGTGGTGATAGTGTTTATTGCAAAAGAAAATACAGGCAATGTGATATAAGCATTTTTCTTTCACAAGTAGCCTTTCTAATGCTGCATTATATCATATGGCTATCCATTATTTAGCTGTTCCTCTATCATTGGAAACCTGAGTGGCTTTATTTATTTATTTTGCTCTTCCAAACTCTGTGATGAGTGTGCTTCAGTTTGGAACTTTTTTATTTCCCATATTTTGTGCTTTCTTAATGGTAAATTATCAGAAATGGTTTCTCTGTCAGAGTTGTATAACAAAGAAATAGTTTGCTTCAAGAGGTTCTGAATATGAAAATCTACCTATGAGGATACTGAAGAAGGTTTTCTTAAAGTTGGACATGGTCACCATTACATTTCCTCTCCACTCTTTGACTCGGTGAATCTGTCAGAAAGTTGAATGTTCTGTCTGTGATACTGATTTGGGTCAGGGGAAAGCTAAGCTGAAGGTAAAGGAGTTTGAAGCATAATTAAAAGTTACAGACTGGTGGCCACAGATGCATACTGAGCAAGTGAAACTTGACATCTTTCTCACTGTATGCCTTGTTCTTCCTTTCAGGATGTGTTTCCATCTTCCTTCACCCTCATAGTCACACACACACACACACACACACACACACACACACACACTTTCTGGAGAAGCACACCCTCCTTCAGTGTCTCAGGATGTGTTTCCATCTTCCTTCATCCTCATAGTCACACACACACACACACACACACACACACACACACTTTCTGGAGAAGCACACCCTCCTTCAGTGTCTGTTCCAGTATTCCCTGTGGCTCTGAATCACTGTTTCTCCTCTGCCCGCTTGACCCTCCAGAGGTTCTTCACCACTATGGAGCAGGGCCAGTGCACCATGTCATAAATCACAGGCAATAGCCAGTTTACTGGGTAGGCTGGTGGGGTATTTTAGGGGTGGAATCAGGGCTCCAAAGCTACCTTTTCCCATCCCCCAACATTTGATGATTTTTTTCTCCCCCCAGGTAATTAAATGTGTGTCTTGTGGACCTGGGCTTGGCTGGAATGCTCAAGGGTCCTGAAGATCCTTCTATAGCGTCCCTCTGTTGAACCCATTAAGAGAAGATGGCAAAAGTCAACATAACTAGAGACCTCATCCGTAGGCAGATAAAGGTAAGCAACCCAGGCCCATGATCCAGAACATGAGGTCCTTTTTTCCCCACAGGTTTCTTTTATAGCTGAGTAAACTGATGACTAGAGTCTCTGACTTGCCCGAAGTTGCACAAATAATTTAATTAGTGACAGACCCAGGACTAGAGCCAAGGTCTCTTGACTCTGATCTTCTTTTATCCAAGAACATGGAATGCATGCAGATTCCTCTGTCCAAGCACTTGTACCTGGGCTCCTGAGATTGATGGAGTCTGGTGAGGAGGGGAGCATGAGTGTGCACATCTCTGAGGGTGGGGGTGCAGCAGAAGTAAGTAAGTAGAGCTTCTTCATGTTGCTGCGGCTGCTCAGCTGAACCTGGGAGAGTCCTAATCTCACTTTAGCTTAAGCTTGCTCTTCTTTTCGTCGAGGGTCTCCTGTACCAAAGCCTGCACCTCTTCTCTGCGGTTTGTACATGGAAGACACTCTAGTACTGTGAGATGAATAGGTGACTGGGCAGTCACACTCATTTAGCTTTGTAGCCCAGACTTTGTCAGGGAGGCCTTCAGTAAAGAAACACAGGGATTTAATGGAGGAGATTCAACCAAGACAAGATGTGCTTCTGAAATAAGAACCCCAGGCTGAGGTCAGGAGCTTATAATCTCACTGCCCTAATTAACTACCTGTATGATTTTAGTCATTTCACCTCCTTGTGCCGTGGTTTTATACTGTTAAACAATAATAATGTCTGTCTGCCTGCAGGCTAATCTTGAGGATAAAATCTAAAAGAACCCAAGAAAGTTCTTTGTAAAGGTTAGGTGCCAAAAAATCTTTTAAAAATTAAGTGACATGCAGCATAAGGTGTGGTCACCATCTAGAAGGACTGAGTATATACTTCTACATGAGCTAATTACTTGGTGCACATTATTCTGTGTTTCATGTATTTTGCCCTGCATCCTTTTGCAGCTTTGTCCACTTGTCAGGATGCTTTTTTGGTTTCATTTCATTAGACTGGGTGGCCCTCAGGGGCCAGGACTAATTCCTAGAAGCACAGAGTCACAGAATTGGAGGACCATGCAAGTTATTTTTCTCCTTTGTATATATCCTGCAATATGTGTCCTAAAGATGTTGCCCACCTTCTTTAACCTAAATATGAAAACATTCCCTATTTGTTGTTTCAGGTTTCTTTTTTGGAACCTAACAATTATGACTTAGTGCTTAATTACATACTCACTTCTATTCTCTAATCCCTGCCGAAGTATAGTATAATTTCCTGCAGGCCAGTTTCTTGTTCTCTTTTTCTAGCTCTAGCCCAGCACAATGCTGTATGTGTAATAGGAGCATAGTAAATCATGTTACATTTGAATCAGTGAACCTATGAGCTTGTTTCTGTCCCCCAGGAGCGGGGTGCCCTGAGTTTTGAGCGGCGGTACCATGTCACTGATCCCTTTATCAGACGGCTGGGCCTGGAAGCAGAGCTGCAGGTAAGAGATCCAGTTTGCACCCTTGATGCAGACGACTGGTTCTCCACTCTCTGCCTGCTGAGAATCCTCTTGGCACTGTTCAAGGCATAAACAGTTTTTCTCTCTAGGTCATACCTGAAGATTACCTCTCCTTTACAGCAGCTTTATTAGGCACAGAAATCTGAATCAAGATTAGTGATTCACATGGTCACACAGAAGTTGTTTTTTGTCATATTATTTCCTTGGTGCTTGGAAAAGACTACTGAATTTCCTTCATACCGCTGATTTTACTGTTGGCTTGGACAGTTAAGATTCTTACCTTTGTATGTGAATTTAGAGTTTACAAAGTGTTTTCTCTCTCTCTCTCTCTCTCTCTCTCACACACACACACACACACACACACACACAGCTCTGTGCTGGAAGTGAGTAACCCCTCTCTCTCTCTCTCTCTCTCTCACACACACACACACACACACACACACACACACACACATGCTTTCTCATTTTAGCTTCAAAGAAATGCTGTGGGAGGTAGATAGGAGATAGATATGTATATTTTTAAAAACGATTTAGAAAATCTAAGCACCTTGTCCAGTGTTGTCCTGTTCAGTTCATGGAGAGTCAGGTCAAGAATCCAGAAGTTGAGCTTTTTCGTTGTGTCAGACCCAAAACAGTCCATAATGTTAGTTTCATTCCCTTTCCTTCCTCAAGATCATGTTCTGAATCCAACTTTTAATTGTCCTATCCAACTTAGTGTCATCCTTGGTTCCTTCACATTAATGTTTGTAAGTGATTGTGTTGATCTTAGAAAAAGATTAGAAAGGAATTTATTGAAAACTAACAGTGTTATCTGGAGGTAGTGAAATTATAGATGATTGTTATTGCTTTCTTTTCATTATAAACTTTTATCCCTTATAAAATATGACTACATTAATAGTAATATGGAAAAGAGAACTAGAAATTGCATCTTATTCCCACCTCCCTAATATAGTTACTATTAGCATTTTATATACTTTCATCTCTTGCATATTTTTGTATAATTGTAATCATTTGATTGATATTTGAAATTATTTTTTTAATCAAAAAATAGTAGTTTATCGAAAATAGGTAGTTCAGTAAATAACAATTATTATTCTTAAGTCTTCCAGTGTTTTTAATGCTTATGTAAATTTTTTTCTACAAAATTGGGCTTACACCATTTGCACGGTTTGTTAAACTCGTTTATACTTTTATTTCCCCATATCCCAGTGGACAGAAGACCCTGGTGGGCTACAGTCCATAAGGTTGAAGAGTCAGACACGACTGGATCGACTTAGCACATACACACATATCTCTAAAAAGTCTCTGAACTCATAAGTTTGTAAATATATTGTATTATTTATCCTTTGTTTGTTTCTTTCCATATTTCCTTTAGAGGATAAAGTATATCTGTTTAGTGCAGTTGGGGATGGTGCATGTAAAGTTTTACCTCCAAGGGGACATTTGGCAATGTCCAGAAACAATTTTGGCTGTGAAAACTAGAAGAGCACTGCTGGCATATAGTGAATAGAGTGTAGGGTTGCTGCTAAACATCCTACAATCAGAGTACAACAAAGAACGTGCAGCAAAGGATTATGCAGTGCCCAGTGCCATTAATGCCAAGGCTGAGAAACCCTGCTCGGGTGGATGCTGAGTAGACAGTTCCCGCTAGCTGGCTGGGGTTCTCCTTTTAGCTGTGCCTCCACCCAACCCATATTGTCTCTACTATCTCTTCCTGGTTTGATAACTTTGTCCACAATAGACTTGGAAACTTTGGTGAACACAAAACAGGATTCTATGATTTCCAAAGATTTGGCACTCAAATACAAAAATATGTTAATGTGGATGAACTGTTTGAACTTACACCTGGCTGAAGGCAGCCTTGTTGGGGACCTGTAATAGCAGTGCACAGTATGAAGGCATGCACAGAGGTTTAGATGTTAAAACAAACATCGCAGCTTTGCCACTTGTGAGGCTTAGAGAAGTCAGAGCAGATGGAAAGAAGACTGGGAGAAAAAATATGCTTATGAGAGAATCAGGGGGTTGGACCTGTAAAGTTGGGAAGCCTGTTGGATAGCTTTGTGGGGGAGAGCTCTGGACCATAGGGAGAAATTCAGAGACTTCAGCTACCCATTTAGTCTTAAAGAATAGAGTCCAATACCTAACTGTTAGAGATACTCCGACTGTCAGAATCGATTACAACCTAAGGAGATTGAAAAGTTAACCACTGAAGAGAGTCCATGAAGTAGAACGGAAACAAAACCCGGAGAGTGTAAGGAGCGCATTTCAAGAAAGGAGTGGTCAGTTTTCCTCAGTGCTTTGAAAAGTTTGAATAAGTAAGGGCAAAACAATGACTGTGGCCTTAACTAGAGCAGTTTTATTGGAGTGGTGAGAATAGATACTAGACAGCAGTAAGTGGGACTTGAAGGAGTGCAGTAGCAAGTAGTGGTAATGGTTTCGTCGCTTAAGTCATGTCCAGCTCTTGCGACCCCATGGACTGTAGCTTGCCAGGCTCCTCTGTCCATGTGATTCTCCAGGCAAGAATTCTGGAGTGGGTTACCATTTCCTTCTCCAGAGAATCTTCCCAATCCAGGAATCAAACCTGGGTCTCCTGCATTACAGGCAGATTCTTTACCGACTGAGCTACAAGGGAAGCCCATATCAAGTAGATAACTCTATATTTAAAAAAAATTTTTTTAGGAGATTCTCTCATAGTCCCATGGTTAAGACTCATAAGTCCATGGTGCTTTCACTGCGGTGGGCCTCGGTTCATCCTCTCGATGAAGAGCTGAGATCCCACAACTGCACAAAATTTTAAAGAGGGTTATTAAATTTTATTTATCTATTTATTTAGTTATTACAAACTTTTCCCCTAGATGAAAGGAAAGATAGGATGTAAGCAGTAAAAAGGGTAAACAGTTGCAGGAAAGGGGACCCCTTCCAGGGCCAGAGAGTGGGCTCCTGTCTAACAGAAACGAATTATGCAAGGAGACACACATGCTGAAAAAGCAAGAGACCTTATTGGGAAAGGGCACCCAGGCAGAGAATAGCAGGGTAAAGGAACCCAAGAGAATTGCTCTGCCCCGTGGCTTACAGTCTCAGGTTTTATGGTGATATAATCCTATCACCGCAGTTTCCTGGGTTGTCCCTGGCCAGTCATTCTGACCCAGGGTCCTTCCCACTGGCACACTCAATGCTCAGCCAGGATAAATTCCATGAGAAGGGTTTTTAGAGGTTGATGGGACATACGGACTGGCATCCCCTCTCTCCTTCTGACTTTTCCTAAACCCTTCCAGCTGGTGGTACCTTGTTGGTTCTGTTTTGTTCACCAGGACCTCCTATTGTAAGAAAACTCTTACTGTTGTGCCTGGTCATGGTGGGAGGTTTCGATAAGTGGTTCCCCTAACAAAATTGTAAAAGATAACCTTCTCTTGTCGCTATACCTCCTCTTCACTGTTTTATCTTTTGCTCACTGCTTGGACAGCTGACTTGCACAGATGTATCGAGTCTCTCTTCTATTTGACTTTAACCAGTGGGGAATCTTTCAGGAGTTTGGAGGAAGAAGATATCTGTTTTTATTCCCCTTGTTTCCACCCTTCAAAGTCACTTTTGTTTTGTTTTTGTATTTGTTTTCCAGCTCTATTGAGCTGTGTAGACAATTCTTGAAGGGCTTTGTTTACCAAAGGAAGCAGAGAAATTGGACAGTAGCGGGAGGGGCCTATGGGATCAAAGGAGGGATTTGTAAGAATGGGAAGAAATACTAGAGCTTGTTTGTATGTTGATAAGAGAGAAAGGGATTGAGGATGCTGGATTAGGACAGAATAACTGAAGGAGCAAAGTTCTAAGGAAGATTGGAGGGTTTAGGATTCACAGTTGAAGCAGAGGGCTCAGCCTTTGATAAGTGCAGACATTTCTATCCTTGTTTCAAGGTCCAGTGGGCCTGGAACCAAAAGAAGCATGAAAAGTGAAAGTGTCAGTTGCTCTGTCATGTCCGACTCTCGGCGACCCCATAGACAGTAGCCCCCCAGGGTCCTCTGTCCATTGAATTCTCCAGGCAAGAGTACTGGAGTGGGTTGCCATTCCCTTCTCCAGGGGATCTTCCCGAGCCAGAGATCAAACCCAAATCTCCTGCGGCTCCTTGCCCATGGATTGTTGACCCGCTGAGTCACCAGGGAAGAATAGACTGGGATAAAAACCAGAACGTCATTGTAGTAGTCTGTACAGTAGCAGTTCTCAAAGTGTGGCGTGCAGACCCCTGGGATCCCCATGACCTCTTCAATGGAGTCCATGAGGTCAAAACTACTTTCATAGTAATACTAAGACATTATTTGTAAAACTAAACTAATTCGTTTAAAAGTTTGTGAAAAAGTGGTAAAACTATTGTCACTTTAGTGCGAATCAAGGCAAGTAACGTCAAATTCATTGAATTATTCACCCTATGCATTTGCAGTGACCCCCCCCCCCCCAAAACAAGCAAGTCTTACTTAAAATGCCCTTGATGTAAGTGCAATAAAACTTAACTAATTTTAAATTTCAACCCGTAAGTATAGATCTCTTCAGTATATGGGGTAGGAAGAATCTATAAAGTACTGCTGCATACTGAATTATAATGGTTGTCTTGAGGAAAAGCACTTGTTCAGTTGTTTTGAGTTGTAAGCTCAACTGGACATTTTTTTCATGGAACACCATCTGAAAGAATGGCTAGCAGACGAAAACTGTGGTTATTCAAATATGGGTATTTGGCAGACATTTTCTTTAAAATGAATGAAGTAAACTGTCACTTCAAGAAGAACAACTGACAGTATTTGTTGCCAAGGATAAAATTTGAACTTTAAAGAGAAAAAAAAAAAAGAATATAGGAAAACTTGTGTTTGCCACCAAGAGCTTGATAGCTTCTCAATACTTAAAAAAAAAAAAAATTATTTATTTGGCTCTAACAGGTCTTAGCTGCAGCATGCAGCATCTTTTGTTGTGGCATATCAGATCTAACTTCCTGACCAGAG